CTCCACTTTGCAAACCTGCAGTATCTTTAGGGCTTATTTTAACCTCTTTCGAGCCATAGTGGGGGCAGCTCCCCCGGAGATAAGCCACACAGCGTGCAAGCAAGCGAGGGAACTCGCAGGGGCACTGTCGATAGGGATCCAGAGTCTAAAACGCCTAGGAACCATATTTGACTGGGCACACAGGCCAAATAAGGGGTCGTAAACGTCCTTGCAGCTAATGGGGGAGGGAGGAGAGACACGATGAAAATTAGTAAAGGTGTTAGAAAGCCCAAGGGGCTCCAGCATGCAGCAGGAGGCTTCAAATGCAAAGGCTTGGCCCAACTCTGCGCCTCGAAGGAGCATAAACGCACGAAATAACCTCCAGGAACTGAGCACGTCCCTTTTTTTTTACCGAGCTAAGGACAAATCGAAGTTTGTCTGAAGTGCAGATGTCCCCAGGCAAAGCTAGGCTGGCTTTTGCGATGGAATCGTAATTAATCTTTGCGGGGTTCTCGCTCGCCCGCTCCGCAAAGTTTGCGTTGCTTCCTCCTGGGCCCCCAAAGCTTGGATGAAACCTGGGGAAACACCCAGGGCTCAGGAGTGGAAGAGTGAGGACGTTTGCAAAGTGAGAAATAAAGCTGTGAAAAAAGAGCGAGCGAGCAAGCGAGCCATCCTCCTCCTTCACCTCCTCCTCCTCTTCCTCCTCCCCACTCAGTCTTTAGCAATATAACCCTTAAAATAGTTTAAGCAGATAATATTTCAGTAGGACTTACTTTCAGGAGCCCAGCCTATTGGTCCTCTGGACTGAACACTGGACCAGCAAAGCATGAGACCAGCAATTGCAAAGCTTTATCTCATCTGGAAAAGTGCTCACCCATTTCTGCCCCTTCCAAGCCAAACCAAGCAGTTAAAGTGTCACTTAACATTCTAGAGAATGTGAAATATATTGTACATTGTCAACTCCCCAAAACCATAAAACTAACTTTATGGACCTCACGTGACTTTTGAGAGCCAGTGAGGGGTATCTGTCTGAGGTCTGGGCGATTTTTACGATCTAACTTCTAGATAAAACCCTATCCATTTGACATCTAAATGTCATACCCACTTTTGGTATAGTTTGCTATTGGTAAAAAAAAAATATCAGGGGAAGGCGAGCAAATGGTTTTGGATCTGACAGTCCACCTCACATGCCTCTCAAAGTCACTTAAGAAGTACCTAAACAGTGGGAGATTAAGTTTGGTAAGTTTATAAGATCCAACTTTACTTGATACGAGTAAAAAAAACCTAAAGTATATTGTAAAGATGTCAGTGGCATTTTGCCAAAAGAGACTTTAGCTGAAAGATCTCGTGCCTTGTAAGAATCCCCGGATAGCAAAATTTGAAACCTTTTCCACTTTTGAAGTTGTTAAATTATCTGCAGCGAAAATGACTCTTTGTAGCCAGTCTCAGTAGTTACAGAACTGTAATCTGTTATTTACATGGTAAACCAAAGACTAGGGTATAAGAACCAGCAAACCCATTAAAGTGGGGGTGAGGGCGGAGAGGAAATTAGAAATTGGACAGCACAGAAATATATCTATATATCTCTATATGCCTCGTGTGTTTTTTTAAGCAGTAATCTATGACAGTTCATGAAATGCACATAAAGTATATTTGGGAAGCATTTGTATCATGTTATTGTAACTGAAGTTACTTCCAAAGAGCTTGTCTTGTATGATTTTGGAGAGGTGTATTATTCTTATCATGATTTGTTTTGTCCTGGCTTTTTTTAAGAGACAAAGTTTGGAAAATATGACAGGTTGCTTTTTCTCGATAGAGTGCCTTTGTTTTCCACCTCAGCAAGAGCATGATGTGAAGGGCTTCCGAGGGCTTCCAAAGTGCTACCGTAGGGGAGTGAGGACTATGTAGTGTTTCTGAAGGGGTGGTAGCACAGACGGAGCCCCATGCCAGTCCATACCTCGTGTGTTCAGCATCTACCGCGAATTAGTAGCTCAGGGGCTCGAAATGTGGTGGACAGAATGCAAAGAGGAGCCTTTATGAATAGCAGAGACGTTTATTTGACTTCCAGTAAAGCTACAAACAAATACAAAAAGCTTCTTGGCAAAATACTAACAGGCAGCTAGACATGACAGATGCCATTTTACACATAACACTGCATTCACTCTGCCCACTACAAACCGTCTATTAGTCACATCAGAAATATTTCTAGTATTTACAAACATTGGAACACTTTATTGTTGGTCCAATTTTATACATTTTTTTTAATAGTGAAGTTTACCCACGTCTAAGAACATGTCTCAGATTTAGTCTGGGACTAGAAACCATGTCCTGGAGTTTGAACTAAATCACAGACTTGACAATTTTAAGACAAAAAGATACAAGAGCTATATTTTTTTTTTTACATTTTTGTTTGTTTTTTTTTATTTTTTTCTGCTATTGTAGTGCAGGAACCCCCGATTTTAGCTCAGGCAGAGAAGTCCTCCCCCCAGAAGCTGTAAACTCAGGAAAAAAACCCAACAAATAAACAAACAACCGTATCTGTTATCCATTTTATAAATAAGTTATAACATTCAAAGGGCTCACATAAAACATGCTAGCTTTCCAGAGAGCATCAAGATAGCACTGGCACAAACATTTAGAAGAACATCAAGAGCATGGAGGAGCATCTGGAAATAAACTTTAATTAAAAAAAAATATAAAAAAAAATTAAAAACACAACATGAACTCAGTCCTGTGATAACAGTACCATACGAGTTGTTTCAAACAGCAACAACATGCCGAAAAAGGTGCCTCACTGTACAGTACTCTGAAACTTAGATAGGCTGCTGCTTTTTAAATTTGCTTTTATTATCCCCCCCTCCCCCGCTTTTTTTTTTTAGTGTTATGCTTCTTAATGTTTA